ACCCTCCTCCTCCCGCTCAAGTGTAGTGTTGCTGCGTGTTGCTCTAAAGTACGTTTACCCTTTAATAAACTGCTCCACCCATTTCCTACTTTACGAGTGAAATATGAAGCACTGCAGTGTGTACACGGATGCAACACTCAGCGCTCAGCTTTGTGTGCTATACTGGATCGTCAACACAAACACCAAATGTCAGGAGGACGTGCGCCTCAAACTGCAGTTGTCTTTCTAGCCTCATCACTCAGTGTGGTGCACTTTAGCCCACGCTAGCATCAGCTGTGGTCACTGGCTGATTAGTGCTGGTTGCTATGGGCTCAGATTGTGGTCGTTTGTACCTGTAAATCACATGTTGTGAGCTTTTAGAAGATTTCATGTTTGTGCATCTACAGATGAGAATTTGTGTGTTTGTAAAAAATATTTACACGAGTTACAATTTTTTTTGTTAAGGTCGTCTTACAGACGCAAAGCAACAAACTATGTGTGAAACTCTGCTCAGGTCCCCTGGCAGTGTGAGTTTGAACTCACAAAATATTTATGACCACAATTTGAGCCCGTCGGTTTCCTCGTGGCTCAGCTGGTGGCTCAGCTGCAGCGAGGCTGAGTGTTGCGAGGTAACAAAACGATCTCGCTGGTGTGTTGCAGCTGCCAGAACACACACACAGCCTTACCTGTACACGTCGTTATCCACAACTATGCCTTCAGTAAGATGAGGCCAGGTTGTTGCGAGATGAAGCTCACTACAAAAGTGAAAAACAGAAAACAAAGTAAGTCTTCCTCAGACCCACAGATTAGGATGATGAAGAGGCTCCGAGATCACGTGATAAGCAACGAAGCCGTCACACCGACTGCTCAGTGTGCAGAAAACATGTCACTGTAACTTTTAGAAAGTATCAGTTTTTACCTTATTGGCTCCTCACAGGCTCCGAATGGAAACTTCCCAAACTCCACCCCCCCCACCTCGCCACCGAGGAGCGCATCAAAATCTGCCAGAAAACACAAAAAACTGAATAATCGTCCAAACAGGAAGTCTGTTACCAGAGCCCACCCAGGGCTTCCTCACAGTCAGGGAGTTCAGTAACACAACCAACCTCTGTTTGTGAGCACACGCACACACAAAACATATTGAACGCATCACCAATTGTCTACATATATTTCTAAAGGTGATGTTCACATGAAATTCTCACTAGATGTCAGTAATAACCCATCCACACATGCAGAGAAACAACTTTAAACTATACAAACTATAAATCAAACAATATAACAAATAAACTCGATGTATTGTGAGTTTTTCTACGTACGATGGTGAAAATTCAAAATCCTGCTCCTCACTTCAAGACATGTTGAGGAGATGATTTAGCCGTTTAAATCATCTGTGTTGGATCAAGGACACATCTAAAACCTGCAGGACACCGGGCCTCTAGGCCTGGAGTTCAACTTAAATAATCAGGCCCCGTCTTATCTTAATGACCTTGTAGTACCATATCACCCTATTAGAGCACTTCGCTCTCGCTCTGCAGGCCTACTTGTTGTTCCTAGAGTATTTAAAAGTAGAATGGGAGGCAGAGCCTTCAGTTTTCAGGCCCCTCTTCTGTGGAACCAGCTTCCAGTTTGGATTCGGGAGACAGACACTATCTCTACTTTCAAGATTAGGCTTCAAAGTTTCCTTTTTGCTAAAGCATATAGTTAGGGCTGGACCAGGTGACCCTGAATCCTCCCTTAGTTATGCTGCAATAGATGTAGGCTGCTGGGGGATTCCCATGATGCATTGAGTTTTTCCTTTCCAGTCACCTTTCTCACTCACTATGTGTTAACAGACCTCTCTGTATTGAATCATATCTGTTATTAACCTCTGTCTCTCTTCCACAGCATGTCTTTATCCAATCACAGCAGATGGCCCCGCCCAAATGGCAAATTTAGACCCTATATGGTTGAAAATAACTTCAACATATTGTGATTTATTTTGTGTTTTGTGATATAGCAAAAAAATATTGTGATACTACATTTTCCTCATATCACCCAGCGCTACCACAGATGTCCATACATGACGTCTAACAATGAAGAATGACACAGGGGAATGTATTGGATAGAAAGAAAGGTGCAAAAAGACACATTTATGAGTAATTACAGAGAATCCTGCAAATTAACATAAGCCGGTTCAGTCCCAACTAAGGCCTCATTAGCCAGGTTTCACACAAGAAGCGTCTCATGATGGGTAAAACCAACGAGTTCTCTCGAGACCTTTGCACACTTGAGACTGACGGCATCGGCTACAGAAGAACTTCTAAGTTACTGAAGGCTCCAGTGAGCACTGTTGAGGCCAACCCTGCAGGGTTTTTATTTATTTACGATAAAACGGCCACGACCAGGCGCTCCCCACACGATTTCAGACAGACGAGTGAAAAGACTTATCAGAAGAATGACCTGGAACCAGCAGGTACGTTCACAGGAAACAACAACACGACCTGCATCACACACGGCTCCTAAAAGCCACTGGCAGGTTTCTGGATGTCAGCCACCTGCTGACATGTACTTAAAAAATTAAATAATTTCTTAATAATAATATTACATTTTTCTACTTGTGCATCAATGACATGTACTGCCTACCTGGAGGCTGCTGCGGCCATGAATACTGCTGCCAGTCTTGGAGCACGTAGGTGAAGCGGATGGCGATGTTGACTGGAGGCAGAGGGAACAGGGAACAACCCTGATGACAACAGGAAGACATCAGGTCATGTTTATGGTAACAAGCTGCAGCATTAATCTCTGCACAGGCGTGGATTACACCTCGTTGTTGTCGGCTGTTCCTGGGAACAAACTGAACACGTTTAACCCTCACGTGGACGATGACGACATCAATCAGGATTTTTATTCTTCTTTAGACATGAAAATAAGATTTTTGAACTTCATTTTTTAAATGTCCACTTAGGTGGACAACATAGGTTTTGACTTATGAAGGGTATGGAGACATCAGTGTGTGTTTCTGTGCAAGTTTACCATCAACACCGACACAAATACAAGAACCTTTGAACAGCTGCAGTGACCACTGTGCATGAAACAACGTGATGTCTGGGAATCCTTTGTGTTTCCAGGAATAAACAAAGTTCAAACAAACTGATCATTAAACCAACATCACTTCCTAACAGTCTTTATTTTATTCACAAATTAACTCCACAAAAATCCAGAAACTGAATTTACACAGAATTAGACGTCTTCTTCTTCCTCTTCTGTTTTTCCAATGTTCACATAAATAAGCTGTACTGTTATCAGCCTGCTCTTTGATGAACGATTACAAGAATATATTCTTATTATAAGATAAGATGTTTGTGTTATTTTCAAGTTGAATACAGTTTTTGTGTGACTGTCAGAGCGGAGGAGGAGGAGGAGAGACTGTACATGAGCAGGAAAAACCAGATGAATAAATGTAAAATACATTTACATGCACTTCGTGGATGCTTTTCTGATTATTAGTTGCATTTAACAGGATTCACATTGTCCTGAAATCATCTGGAACAGGATGCTGAGCTGATACTGGTAGAACATGGGTACATGACGCTCTGAGGCTGCACAACTTTAATTTCTCTTTATTAAAAACAAACAACCTTGAAATCTGATCCATATAAAGATGTTTGTTCCAGAGCACTTACTATCTTAGATTTGAAGATGTCGAGCAGGCCGGACAGGTGGTTGTACTGCACGGGCGCTCGGCGCAGGTGAACGATCTCAAAGTCGGTGCGCACGCCTGGTCCTTTGCACTCTCCGGCATACATCCGCCTCCACTTCTGCTGGATCTGCACAAACATTGGCACCTGACTGAACACGAGATAAAGAGCAGAAGGCATTACTAGCAGGGTCTCTGGTACACGCCCGACATCCAGCTTCAGTTTCTCTCAACCAGCAACAATCCAGCTAAACTCAACAGTCCGACTGAAACAGAGCAACAAGCTGCAGATGGCATTGTGCTGGCATGTATGTCAGTATATCACTGAGTGCTACACAGACTGGTTTTAATATGTTGTGTACATTGGAGTAATCTAAGGCTGCAGCAATTCATCATTTCTAAAAAAAAATCCTCCAAACCAATTCTTTGCAGCGGTGCAGCGGTGCAGCGGTGCAGCGGGTGCAGCGATGCTGCGATGCTGCGTGCTCTGTAGCACAGACTTGTTCAACGATGTAAACGTGTGTGAGGTCAGTAGGTAGAGTGGCTGCCCCGGGATCAGAAGGTTGGGGGTTTGAATCCAGTGAAAAGCTAAGCTGAGGTACCCCTGAGCAAGGTCCCTACACACTCCCCAGGTGCTGCATTGAGTGAATGGTACAGGCATCTCTGAAAACATTAGAGCACTTGTGCAAATATGTGATGTCCTGATGAATCGAGCAGATATTTGAAGTTCACACAGAAACATTCTCACATGTAAATATCTTAAAAGTTTATTTTGTGACCCAGAAAGAGTAATATTTCAAACTCCACCACTCTGTGTTCCTCCGCCACTGCCTCGTTTGAGTTTTGGACAAATGCATTCTGGGATATTGCATTTCATTATTT